GCTGTGAGAAGGCAGGCTTGTAACAACAATACTTGTGATGAATGATGCTTGTGAGTCTTTGGACAGACACGCCTAGGACTTCAATCATATCAATACAGAAGATTGCACTATTTGTCAACTGAAATGATTTGTCAAGTGAGAGTTTTACTGTCCCATTGGCAAAACTGAGCAATATATCGTTGATGCAGCCGTGGAGGGTGGAGATTTGACCAAGCAAAAGAAAGAATGGCATTAAAATGACATTTATAATGCTGATGGATCTTTGCTCTAATTAGCGAATACGCTCTGCTGAAAATATGGTTTTATTATTTATGCCACTGGGTCAGCTGTGTCAGACTGCTGCTGATGTTGTCACAGTTCTTTGCTTGCCAATAGATCCATCACTGATCACTTAACGGCATTTTACAAACAACAGAAGAAGAGTCTGCTGCACAGAAATCAGACAGGGCCTTGTAGGGAACATCCCAGCTGTCATAAGGTTCAACTTATTAAAGGCGGTCAAACCTCCGTGATCCAACTGCAATCCACCGCCCATTTATTCCTGTGTAACTTCTTTTCCCTGTCCTTTAACAACATTCACTGTGGAGTCTCTGTGGTAATAAAGATAGGTTTGGTACTTTTTTATCTTTATTAGGATGTTTCAGAGCACAGTGGCACTGTATGCCTCTGCTGCACTAATGCTGCCATCATTCATGCAGAGGCAGAGAAGCCCACAGCACTGAGCCTGAGGGACGTCTGTCAAAAAGAGTCCCCACACACAAAATACTTAATAAGAGCAATATTTTACAGCTGTTTATAATGGCAGTATATGTGGTTCTGCTGTTATGTCGGAATCAAAACATTTAGAAGTTTGAAAGATGCTTTTTGTTACTGCAAGTTAAATGTGTTGTTCCAGAGTCAAGTTTAATATCTAATCTGCTTCAAAATGACCAATCTTATTGCATTTCAGCAAAGGAAAGAATCTGGACAGGATGTGTACATATTTCACATATTTTATTCATTATTGTTATTTTTTTGTTCCAGTTTTGGCAAGTCAGCTTGTCTGTCAATAACATAGGCAGCTTTCAAATCGCAAGACTTTGAAAGGAGGGTTTGAGTCTTTTGTGTGTGAGTGTGTGTGTGTGCGCGCGCAGGCGTGAGGTTACCAAACAGAGGAAATTTCTTTTCACGGAGCTGAATGACTTTCCTTTTTTACCTCTAAAGTGGATCCTCCACGGACAGCACCACAATGTCTTTATCATAGGTGCCACTGTGATGTTTTATTACTCAGGAAACAACAATATGACTAGGTGTGCTGCTTATAAATCTTATACATTTAATTGTTGTTGGTTTTCATGTGATTTCCCTGGTGTGGGAAGAAGGGCTGTTGAAGAATCAGGGGAAATAAATCAAAGAAACAATGAAACAATGAGGTAACATCACCAAAGAAAGCCCTATATTACTGTTACGTCAGTGTGCAAGTAGAGCATGTGTTAGATACACAATAACTTAATCATTGTTCTAATTCTGTGGCCACAAGATATACATATTTACATATAAAATGATGTAAGTCTTTAAATGTAACAGACATTTTGTCAAAGGGTAGGAGGGTTAAAGGGAATTGATTTCCTGATGTTAAGTAAAAACAGTAACTCATAGTAAAGTAGAAAGTAACTCATACATTATTATACTAGATGTTTGGAACAACCTTTCTAATTCTGGCTCTTACAATGTAATACAACATTGCTGAAAGCCATTTTAATGTGAAAAACCTGATGGATGCTGGAGTCATTGCAGGAACGTTACAAATCACAACTGTAAGAAAGATACACATACTGACCAGACAATATCACACAATGAATTTGTTGACTGATGAAAGTGTCTACCTCCTACTGCTTTAAGATAAAATGTCGACCGATCGCAATTAATTTTCATTCATTAAGCATCCTGTGTGTGTTTCAAGTGAGTAATGAATTGGAAGGATAAATATGAACGTGAATGAACGAATATGTTATGGTACAAAATCATTTTCATTTTCTTATTTCCACGTTCTTTGTGGTGACGAACTAACTAATGTCCTGTTGTTGCAACAATGATGTTATTCAAAAAACAGTTTGCTTTTACTGCATGCTGAAGGGTCTTTCTGACTACCACCACTTTGACACGTACAAAAAACCAGCAAGGAAGATTTACTTTTTCCTCTGAGGGGCTACTGGGACATGTAAGAAAAGCTGTAAGGCATTAATATTCAAATTAATTTTACAGGTGACATACACTTCACAAAAGGTGAAGTAACAAAGAAATCCTGTTTTGGAGCACAGGTACAACTTTTTTTTTCCCAAACTGTGACAACTGTCTTTGAATAGTTTCATACTTCAGTGAGTCTGTTTTCAGCTGACGTTAATAATTTTAATTTAAGAGCCTGGAACTCATTATTTTGACAAGCTAGCTTAAAGGAACTACATGTCATGCTACTAGTTGGAAAGAAAGAAAGAAAGAAAGAAAGAAAGAAAGAAAGAAAGCAGGAAAGAAAGAAATTCTCTTCTGTCTAGTGGGCTCATTTTGTCCAATTTAAGACCTCCCTGGCTCAATCATCCTTGAAGAAATCCCTGCCAGTGGATGGTCGGCTGGTAAGTACAAAAGCAATAGAAGCAATAGGGAGTGCAATAATAAAATATGCTCATGGGAAACAGCTATAAGCATTTATCGGTTTCCATCTTCTCGTCTAACTCTCTGCAAAAGCATATTTACCAAAATGTTGAACTATTACTTCAAATTACTTATCTCATAAATGGAAGTCTGACCACTAGATAAAAATATCTGTATTAAGATATCCTGACAATAAAACCCAAAGCAGCACTGAGGGTTTTATTAAATATCATCAGCCGCTTTTAGTTTATTGTGTCTACCTTTTAAATCACCGGCTTAACCTTTGGCAAAGATGAACAGAACATTGCACACGTTAACTTAGAAAAGATCCCCAGTGAGAGATGTAAATCAAATTTTCATGCCTGTCAATGAGGGCTGAGCAAGTTACCACTCACAGTGAGTGTTTACAGGAAGCACAGAGAAAACATGCTGTATTTCAGGATGTTTCCAGGCAGGATTTTACTGATTATGTGTTTGGCCTCACTTATCTGCTTGGTGTACCTTATGGTATAAGCCACCTCCATTAACTCAAAAAAGACATTTTTCATTTCATGGAGCGTATAGGCTCCCCTTTAGATTTTGCAGGTGGAGTGTGGTTCTATTTGTGCATTGTTGTACAAAGTCAATACTGTGGACTCCCACAATTTTTCATCCAAATAAATATCCTCAATAATGATCTGCAAGATGCAGACCACATCTCTGTAATCAGCATTCTTTTCTTAGCTACATAACACCAAAAGATTTCAAAACACAGGGTATTGCTTTTCATCAGTCACAGTATGACAAATCAAACACTAATTACAATATATGCCAAAATTAGATCAACAAATCATTTGTTCTGTTCATATTACATTTTTTTGCATGGCCTTGCAGATTTTCCCATTGGCCCTTCAAGAAATTCATCATTTATGCAAGTGCTTCAAACAAAATATATGGATATAAATTCTGTTGGCAGCGTGCCTCCATGCATGCCTGGAGGCGAAAGAAAGCCTGAGTCATGTTTAGAAAGTGAATTATGGGAGATTGTAAATCCTTACCTGAATAACCTTTGACCAGTTTAGAAACTTAAAACGCACTACGTACAAGATGTGAGAAGATGCTAATGGCTGATAACAAGGAGAAGGAATCAAACGTCTACTTACTTTTAACAGGTCTGAGAAAACAACTGACAGCTGTGGGGGAAGTACTGAAGTACACGAGGGAAAAAAACACCTTTTTGATAGCGCTTACATGTGAGCACCAGCACTGCCTAATCCTGTCCAAATTAAAGAATAAACCCAAATAAAAGAGTGGAGAAACATCAAATGCAAATGCTTCTGTGCACCAGGGCTCACTGAATGGTTTGGTGAGTATGAAAATGATGTGAATAAAATACAGTCACCAGATCTCAACCCAGTTTCTCACCTACGGAAGATTTTGGACCATGTATGACAATGCTCCACCACCATCTCCGTAAGAGCAAATGATATAAACTTTCATCTTCTATATAGTGATGTCTGTGACTGTCTCTGATGCCATATGTCCTTCTTTTACGTCTGTCTGTGTTTGTGTTTCTTTCCATCTGCTGCACTCAGGTCTCTCTTGCAAAAGAGATCTCAGTGAGATGACCTGATTAAATAAAGGTGGTATATATAAATGAGGGAATATCTTGTGGAGGAATGGCGTTCTTCGCTCTAACAGAGCTCCACAGACTTGGAAAAGAGCGCTGAAGCTGTTCTGGAGGCTCGTGGTGGCCTGACTCCATACTAAGACACTTCATGTTGGTTTTTCTTTTCATTTGTCAAACATCTGTATGTCCCCTGGCGCATGATTCATTTTGTTGCCTCACAGCGAGCAAGCCAAAAAAAAGCAAGAAAAAACAGACATAAAGAAAAGGAAAGAGGACACTGGAAGAAGACAGACCAAGGTGGATGATATCGTCTTAATAGCATAACAGCCTTGACCCATAACACCCACAGTCCCTCAGTAGTCTGTCTCAGTTCTCCCTTTACTTTCACAGCACAAAAGCAATATTTCCAAATGGACAGAGACTACATGGTTATATAAAAGAGAGATTCTTAATCTGATTTTGGTTTCAGGGACTGGAATGTCTTTTTGTCTCATGGACATGCAAAGAACAGCATTGCCTGCTCGGGCTCAACTAGCACTAAAAGCAAACCTATTTGCTGGAAAACTGAGAGAATAAAAAGAAAAGCTAATATCGACACCGGCTCAGTGATGTCCCAGGGACTGACACGGGCCCCCTACTCTGAGTATGAGGTGTGTAACCTAGATCCAATCAATACTGTTGTCAATGCTGAAGTGCCAGCAGAGGATAGAAGAGAAGACATGTAATGGAAAATATGTCATCTCCCCTCGAAGGCAGTCGCAAATCCAATGAAATGTATAACATCAAGAGCACAATGCATGGATTTAGAGAAAGGTTTTTCCTCTCTCAATGTGATGCACCAGTCATTGATATTCTCAGCATACACACAATTGTCCATCAATTGTCAGTGTTTCGTTTAATTATACAGTCATTATCACATAGAATGCCTAGTACCCATATTGTCATGTCTTTACACAAACAATGCATAATCATAATGATAGGAATAATCAATACAAAATTCTTTATGAAAACCAACATCATTACTTTTGACACATCAAGGCCTTCAGTGGACCTGGCAGATTTTTACATCTTGGAAAATATCAGTCCTGAGATTAGACTCGTGAGTTTTAAATAGGGTTCCCTTGTTTGGCTAGTACCACAATGAAATGCATACTTTATCATCAATTAGAGCTGATTGTTTAATATGAGAGAGAGGAATCCTAAGTTAAGAGAATGAATTCATGCAAAAGATCTCAGGACAAGATGCTCTCTCTACAATTGATCCTCCATTTTAGTGGTACTGCTACTTCTAATTGCTGCTCTAGTGCGCCAAATGCAAAACAATTTAACTGGACAAATAGTATCTGTGAGGAAAAGGTGCCACACTGTAACCCTTCCAACCACAAGTCAGTAAACCAGGAGATTGCCAGCTCATCCCCATAACGCACTCACACACGCGCATACACTCAACATTGCACACATTTATCCTAAATAAATAATAAAAAAAAAATCAAAACTAGCAGATTAAAAAGTGGCTTTGAAGGTTCATATGTTCTATGGCGATATAGTTTGACTAAGAATAAGGTCAGTCTCTCTACAGAGCTGGCTTCTACTGTGTCAGTGGTCCAGTCCTTACGTTAGATCGTACACTGCTAACCTGGCTGAATCTGCCACTGTTCTCATGTCAGTCAGGGTGATAATTAGCTCCAAATATATCTCTCCATTCCTGTCTTCTTTCCTGTGCACATAATTATATTGTACTATGCCCTCAAGTTTTTCCTTCACTGCTGCAGAATCTATCATCTCATTTTAGAGACAAAACCACTTAATCTCATGGAAAAACCATTTACCTCTGCTTAGCAATTGCAGTTTTGGTCTCTTTAGGTGAAGTGGGCAGTTCAGACTTCACATTCTATGGATCCCGATATGGTGCATGTGCACGGCCTTGTCTCATTCACCAAAGAGTCCATTGTTTCTGAATTTGAATGGTAGCTCAGATAGTACTCTTGCAACTGAGAGTTAAGGTCCTGCTCCTGCTTGCGGGCCTTTTTCCTGCGCTTATGGTTGACTGAGTGCTGCTGCAGCTGCCTCATGGTGTTGGGGTAGCGCCTCCACGACACATAAATAACCAGAAGGATCAATGACACTGACAGGAACAGGGCTACACTGCCTGCAATGATTTTATGGAAAGCCATGTGTTCAAATTGTAGCTCTGGGATAAACGATGTAGGGGGTTCAAGGGAGATGGCTGATGTGGAGCTCATGGTTGTGGACTCTGTTGTTGTTCTATCTGTCCCACTAGGGCGGACAGGCAACGTGTTTAGTCTCTGTACAGGTGATTCAGTACGAACCAGGTCTGTAACACCAGAGGGAGAGAGGTGTGTTGTGATGTTCACAGCTTGGGAGGACGTCAGAATGATGAGAGCAGTGGTTGAGAACACAAATGACACATCCGCACATGTTGAGTGATTCCTCACTACATCCACAACTCTTTCGCCCTGCACAGACTTTGGACTGCTGCATATCATACTGATGTCTTTGGAGTCTCTGAAGTTTTTGAGCCACCCCATGAGAGGGCAGATGCCGGGGGTGCAGTCCCAGGCATTACCTGCCAAGCTGATGCTGGTTAGTGAAGTCCACGCTGCCACAGCTTCCACAGGCACACTGCTGAGCTTGTTCGATTCAAGGTTGAGTATTTGTAAGTTCGGCATACACTGGAAAACCACTGGGTCCAAGATTTGGATTTCATTCCCTGACACGTCCAATTTCTGTAGTTTGTGCCAGGTCCAGGTCATGCCTTGATTGATGGATCGTATGCGGTTCCACTGTAAATAAAGAGCCTGGAGGTTGGTAAGACGCACGAAAATAAAGAAATTAATCCTGGAAAATTGATTGTGCTCTAAATGAAGCTCTTTCAACTTGAACAGCCCTAAGAAGGTTGTGCGGGTGAGGCTCCGCAAGCGATTGTAACCCAAGTCCAGAAACTCCAGGCTGCGGCACTCCAGAAAGGTACGGATAAGGATCTGTTTCAGGCCATTAGATCGAAGGTGGAGATTTTGCAGCTTGCGCAAACCATAAAAATGTCCTGGCTGCAGAGACTGCAACTGATTGTATGACAAGTCCAGATTTCGCAGGTTTGGTATGGCTCTGAATGTTTTGTTGTGCAGATGGGTTATTTTGTTGGAACTGAGGATGAGTTCCTTGAGTCTGCGCACACCGTGGAAGGCTAAAGCATCTATAGCATTGATGGAGTTGTGGTCCAAGTAAAGCCAGATGAGCTGATTGAGATGAGCGAATTGGTACGGCAACAGAACCAGCAGGTTGTTGTAGCGCAGAGACAGACCTTGGCATCCTGTGGTGATGTTTTCTGGGATGTCTTGGAAGATGCCAGATTCGCAATAAACAATCTTTCCTTCGCAGCGACAACTCGCAGGGCACATCCTCTCCCCCTTGCTGAGCAGCAGCAAAACAGCTGCGTGCAGAAGAAGACATGATAACCTCCAGTCCAACATCACAGAACCTGTTGGGGGGTAGAGTGGAGCACAGGCAATCAAAAGGATGACTTGGTTTTAGAAAAGGTGTGCACAGAGATGATTAAATAAGTAAAGGTAAGAAATTCATTCTTCAAACAGGAGTTAATGTACTGAGGAGCAGCAGGAGGTCTGACGTTTGAGACACCAGACCTGCTTCATGAAGAATTGATAAGTCTGACGTTAGGCTACTTTTAAGGTATGGGTATGCGAAAATATTTGGACACAGAGAAACGTGAGGAAGAAAAGGGTAATATGATTTAAACTAATGCTTGAAAAATAGAATATTAAAATAATAAAATTATTCATTCAGGTTAAGTACTAATAAAGGCTGTCGTCTTAGCTCCGAAAAGCCTCAAGAGGGAGAAACTGTGTCACTAAATTGTGAACATTAAGACTTACCCATCCTTACTGAGGGAAGGAGTAATCCTCTCAAATAAATGGATGAAGCGCACATTAAACTGCTCTCAGATGAGAAAATCGCAGTTCATGCAGCCTCAGAGTCGATCCGCATATTGAGCATCACATATGTCTTCAATTAAAGGGGGAAATCAAATAAACGCAAGTTTTCCGCAGCGGTCCAAACCCTCCGATCTCTCTCTGACGCGCAGAAGAAGGAAGCCTTCACACTTGGGTCGTAGTTGGAGTCGCTGCTATAGTTCAGCCTGCTGTGTGCGCAATAACCCATTTGAGCGCCAATAGACTGATGCACAATCCTCCACTCCATGCAGTCTCTCTCTCTCTTCCTCCCTCTCTTTCTCTATATTGCTCTCTCTCTCAGTCTCTGTCCTCTATCTGAGGCGTGGGCGTCATTAAGCACAAATATAAGCCTAAAATATACTACATGTGCCAAGAATGACTATAGACTATGTTCAGTTTTGTTGATTATTTAATTTAATGCAATATTTTTTCACAACTTCTCTATATTTTATTTCGAATTCTAGGTAAAACAAACGTAAATAAAACATGTATATAATGTAAGTTACGCTATATTTACCTTGCTCAATAGGGGGCTCCATTAATTCTAAAAATTAATATTGACAAATGGTATAAACAGTTGGTGTAAAAATGCACAGTAGCCCCTGGTTATTTTCTTCAGATTTAAATTGATTTGCTTAGAATCCAACTCTTGCTGAAATGTGGGGTGACCTGAGGAGCCACAGTATAAAGATGGCATCATACACAGTGTAATAACACATAGGCTACGGTTAACCATGATGATGAGGATGAAGGGGGTAGCATGATTCAAACCCACCATTCTGACATTAATACTTTCAATCATTCATTCAAAAATGACAGGAAGTAACAGGAAGTTGGGTAGTCAGGATTTTTGGTCACCATCAGTAGCTTGTTACAATGGTTATTATGCTAATAGCTTAAGTGTGATGTTGACACGCAGCATCCATCCACACTCTCAGACAGCAGGGGGAGTTTATGTAGATAAACAGTTAACACCTCTAGAGATGCTGCTGAAGAGGTGGCAACGATAATTGGTATTCAAATTAAGTACAAGTAAAACAACATGCTTAAAGTAGGAGGTGATTGGGAAACCTGCAATTCTGTCAAATCATTTTTCATTCTTTGCTCAGTCTGCTTTGAACAGACATTCATCACATTGGAAACAGTGAGAAAAACACCATTTTTGACTGCACAGCCTTGGAAAGTCTGAGTTGTAATGTGTGGTAACAGCAACCCCTTGTGCACACAAAAAGAAATGTCCTGTTTTAAGAGGTGTTGACATTAGTATACAAATACACACCTTCAGCAAAGATAAGAGAGAAATCAGCATCAGGTCACTTGTGGCTAATAGAATGAGCAAATTAATTCATATCAATATTTGGCTGCAGGCGTGGTTGTATTCTTGGTCAAACAAGATTTCCTGTGATGCCTGCTGATTGTATAAAGAAGAAATGTATTTATGAAATCCATTCCATGAACATCACAGCAGGAGTGAATCTGAGAGGCGTGAAAAATGAGCCATTCTGCTAAGATAAGACCTCCCAGACTTATAGTGGCACATTTTGTTACTGAATGTCAAACAAAATCTGCTCTTCAAAGGGTGTGCTGCCTCACACGTGTCTCGGAAGATCACATGCCATTCAAGAAATGTGCACCTAAAGTGTGGGAAAACAATGACGGCGTAAAACGAGGCCACTTTGCAACATTTAAGCAGAAGAACACTGAAACCTGTAGACAGTGAGGGAGGATGTGCCGCACTGACTGTCAGCGATCACGTCTCAGCTCAACAAAGCGGATCTTATCTTGTGTATGAAAATATAGAAAATGACACCATCCAGGTCTTTGCCAGCCAGAAATTTCACAAAGCAATCATCCTCAGATAGGAGACAACAATCTTCTAACTTTTTGATCAAACTTCTGCCTGTAACAGAAGTTAGACACTGTTTCACTGTTTCAAACCCATTCAGAGAAATCAAAATTTGATTCCATGTTTAATTATGTAGAGCATTTTAAAGTTACAGTAGGAGCTTATATGTATGTGCATCTGTAAACTGACTTGTTTGAGGCCTGCTATTCTGTAGACATGAACTACACACTGTACTGTATCTGCAGATTCTTGTTATTGTTATCAATGTGATATATACTATTATTACAATTGTTGGACCCTTTTGTCCAACAATTGTTGGAGAAGTTAAAACCACTGTTGTATGCAAACAGGCGATTATCATCCATGCTTATATTTTGAAAATGCCAGTTGATGGTATTTGAAATATCCGCTGGATGGTAATCTCTTTGACAAAAGGCAATGGCCTTTGGCTTGAGATGGCGGGATAGCAAAACAGTAATCCACAAAAACCCTTCGCATTTTATCCCTCACGGTACACGAATCAGTACAACATGTGATCTTGGTGGTAAATTGGCAGGATGCATTCCATGACTGCAGTTTAGCTATTCAAAGCTACTCGTACAGAACAAGGATACAGCTGCAACTTTGCAATGTCTGCTGAAAAAGATTGTGGTTCTTTTGCTGTCTCTGTTTGGGCAGGCATGGTTGTTTCTAATCTTTTAAATGTTTGATCTCTTTTATATTTTACTACTAAAAGACAAGAACCTATCATAACACTGATCGTGTGTAGAGAGCTTTCAGAACATCCTGTCGCTCATGCAAATACTCTCACGCACTCAAACTCAGGTGCTTCATTAAAATTTTATTTGCACGTAAAGAACAACCAAGGTAGGGACAACCACACAGCATGCAGACTACAATCAACCAAAAAAAATATATAGAAATTAACATTTAGGTGGCTGAATAAGTGATTAAAAACATTAATTGAATGGATTTATTTAGAAGATGTATCACTGTACATAAATTATCATTCAAATGAAAGACACGTTTTTCTTTTGCTTAAATTTTTTTATTGAGAGTGGAGTCCAGTATAGACAAATCATTAGTGAATATACAAATATAAGGATTACTGGTGAATATATATTTATGGAGCATAAACATCAGTATATACAAAACCTATATAAACATTTTCTTTCCTTGTTTTGGTGACTGGGCCCTGTTTCAGAAAGCAGGTGTAACAAACTCTGAGCCTAACCCTGAGCCTCAGTTGATTAAGCCTAAGATGAAACTCAGTTTGTTAAAGTAAACCTCTTCCCGGGCAGGTTAGGTCATAGCATAAGTTGCTGTAGTTACTGAAATAGGGATCTCGGTCTCTGAAAAACCCAGAGTTTCTCTTATCTCAAATTTAGCTAAGTTTTCATTAAACCTGCTTTCTGAAATGGGGTCCAGGACTCAGGACGAAGTGAGCTGCCTCCTGAATGTTTGGGCTAAAGAGAACATTTCTCAATTACCTTAGAATAAGAATTACATAAGAACAATGATGTATTAAAAATATTCAGTGATAGAATGAAGGAGAATGGATTCTAGCAATCTGTTGAGCAGTGTCATGTGTGAGTTAAAAAACTGCATCAACAGTACATCAAAGTACTGTAGTATGTAAGTATTTGGAGAGGCTTGTTTTTTTACCCGTACTTTATGACAACTAATTGAACGCCATTTCCACCACATAGCTTTTAATTACAATTTCTGGACCATTTGATTTTTTGCCTTTGTGAAAGTAAATTGAAACAATGCATCATCCTCACATTAGTTCAATTCACAAACCAGACCTGTTTAGCATGAACCCACCCTAAAACCTGTAAAAAATAACACAGTAAACAAAAAGAAGGAAAAGAAGAAATAAAACACTGTCTATCCAACCACACCTACAAACCAATGGATCTTTCATAATGGTGGTAACACAAATTTGTAAAAAGCATTAGACTCTGTTCATTATCTTCTGCCAGTATTGAATGTGAAGTTGACAGAGGGTATCAAATAAGTTCATCTGATCACTTCTAATATACAGTGCCTTGCGAAAGTATTCGGAAGGCACTGTATATTAGAATTAGAATAATTTTGCACGCCCAATTTTTCAGTTTTTCATTTGTTAAAAAGGTTTGAAATATCCAATAAATTTCGTTCCACTTCATAATTGTGTCCAACTTGTTGTTGATTCTTCACAAAAAATTACAGTTTTATATCTTTATGTTTGAAGCCTGAAATGTGGCAAAAGGTCGAAAAGTTCAAGGGGGCCGAATACTTTCGCAAGGCACTGTATCTAAAATATGAATTAGAATATAGTAGACTCGCCTAAATCTCTGTAACCTTCTTACTGGATGTTGAAGTCTAATGCTTACCTAAGTCACGTTGGAATTAGGAGGTCACCAGTATTACACTCTAAAGGGAGGCAGTATGTCCCTCCTTCTAAGACTGAGCCAGAGAATACTATCTTTTGTTCTTGAGTGTCCAGGCAACGGATCTACACAGCTACACAGCTGTCGTCATGCACACATGGAGCTGACAGCAGTATGAATTATTGTTAGAGAGACAGAGGTCATTCTGTTTCTATGCCTGCAAGTGACCCTAATTGTGACAGGTGTATGAACGGTACCTACTACGTTTTACCCACCAAGGTCGTCTAAGGAAAATGTCTACACACCTCAAGAGTAATGACAAGATCATAAAGCCACATTTTAACATTAATAATGTCGTTGCCCCATTAGCCAATCAATAATCAATCAAAGTTGTATTTAAAGTGCAAAATCACCAGATGACACACTACACTTTAAGATACACTGGAATAAAATACAAAAGGAGCATCATAAAATACACAGTAAAATACAGAAGGCACATGATAAAACACAAGATAAAATACAATCAGAATAAAATCAATAAAATAAATAATAACTAAAATAATTTAATAACTATAAGTTTGCTAAAACCTGCCATAACTCAAACAGAAAAGTTTTGAGTCTAGTCTTAAAAGTGGTGATGCTGTCTGATTCCCGAACCCAAATTGGGACCTGGTTCCATAAAAGAGATGCTTGATAATTGAAGGC